TTTTACATTTCGATGATGATTCGAAACCGTTTATTTGTCGTAACTTTCATCGCCATTCTCCTTCTTCCCTCACTGAAATGTCAAGAAACAGATCTATACACTCAAGAGGGTTCAATAAGGCAGTCAAGCCAACCAGTCAAAACCCGTGCAGAAAACACACACAAAGGTACAGAAAATAAATCAAGCGGAAATCACGGATCTCTAGTAAATGAGATACAACCGAAGCTTCCAGAAAAATCAAAAAAGCCTTTAAAAGATAAATCTGATACATCTTTAGAAACTTCTGATCATAAAGACAGTGAATTGGGATCCGATTTCGAAGATCTTTCTAATGAGGATTCATCAGCTTTTGATCAAAGAGAGGATCCAAAAACTCAATCAAAAATAACATTTGTCACTTCAGCTCCATCAGCTCTATCGGATTCGTTGGTTGTACCGCCAGTTCAGGAAGCTCAGGAAACCCAATCAGTTATTTCTGATGAAGAAGCTCCATCAGCTCTATCAGATTGGTTGGTTGTATCGCCAGTTCAGGAAGTTCAGGAAACTCAATCAGTTCTATCTGATGAAGAAGCTCAAAAAGCTCAAGCTCTAGAAAATAAAAAAACTAAAGAAGCTCTGGAAGCCCAGGAAAACGAAAAACCCTTAGAAGCTCTGAAAGCTATCCTAATTCAGAAAGCTCTAGAAGCCCTGAAAGATGATCAAAAACCCCTGGAAGCTCTGAAAGCTACCCTAATTCAGAAAGCTCGTGATGCTCTGGAAGCTATACTAATTCAGAAACCTCATAAAGTTCAACTAGTTCTATCGGATTGGTTAGCTCACGAAGATCAGGAAGCTCTGGAAGATCAGGAAGATCAGGAATATTTGGAATTTCGAGAAGCTTTGCAAGCTCTGGAAGCTCAGGAAGATCAGGAAGATCAGGGAGTTATGCTGATCGAGAAAGCTTACGGTGCTATAACCCTAATACGACATTTTAAATCTCGCAAAGTTCAGCAAGTCCATGAACTTTTAACAGCTCTGAAAGATCAAACACCCTTCGAAGCTCTGAGAGTTATAATATTTCAGAACGGGTTAGAAGCTAAAGAAGCTCTGAAAGTTCTTGAAGCTCTGGGAGCTCTGGCAGATCTGGGAGCTCTATTAATTCATAAAGTTCATGACTTTCTACTAGCTCGGAAGGCTCATGATGCTCTAGAAGCTCTACTAATTACGAAAGCTAAGAAAGCTCTACTAGCTCAGAAGGCTCATCGTGCTCTAGAAGCTCTACTAATTGAGAAAGCTGAGAAAGCTGAGAAAGCTCTACTAATTCAGGAAACTTTGTGTGTTCTGGATGCTCTGGAAGGTATGCAAGATCTGAAAAATCTGAAAGCTCTGAAAGCTCTGAAAGCCATACTATTTCAAAAAGCTCACCGTGCTTTGGAAGCTCTACTAATTCAGAAACCTCAGAAAGCTCATTTTTCTCTGGAAGCTCTGGAAGCTCTAAAAGTTGAAGAATACCAGAAAGCTAAAAAAGATGAAAAACCTCAAACTCTGGAAAATCATAAAGCTAAAGAAGCTCTGAAAGGTCTGAAAGCCCTGAAGGCTCTGGACGCTCTAAAAGCTCTGGAAGATAAAAAACCCCTGGAAGCTCTGGAAGCTCTGAAAGATCTGAAAGATCTGAAAGCTATAGTAATTGAGAAAGCTCATGATGCTCTGAAAGATATGATAATTCACAAACCCAATAAAAAAAGACCAATGGTTCGGACATGTCAGGCAGCTCTGAAATTTTTGGAAGATCTGAAAAGTGAGAAATATCTGGCTCCAAAAGGCTGGAAAGCTGAAATCATTCATGCAGCCTTGGAACCTCTGCAGTATATCGAAGATCTGAAAGCTAAAAAAGTTCTGAAAGATCAAGCACTGAAAACTATACTAATTCAGAAAGCTCCACCAAGAAAAGCTTTTGTCGCTTCAGATGCCAATGAAGAAAATCCCCAGCTTCGTCAAGAACTTTTGTAACTTCAGGTGCCGATGAAAAAGAGGTTAGGCTTAGTGTTAGTGTTAGGTTTTACTATGCTTTATTTTCTAATAAACGAACTTATGGGGTGAAAGCTGCAACTAGGACAGATGGGCGAATCAGAGTGCAGGCGGAATTGAATTGAATTGGATTGAATTAAATTGAATTGGATTAAATTCGCAGGTCAGACAAATGCATACTTGGGAGTAGCGAGGCAATAAGATTTTCAAAAACCTCGTATTGACGCAAGTTCAGAAGGTGATTCAAAGAGGGTGTAGTGATGGTTTTCCTAGACTTTGGCGGCGAAGCCACAGAATGAAGCTGCCCAGGAGGGTCCAAGCGCAGAAACAGCGGTGCCCAAAACATGCAGCCATCAGGCAATATCAAATAATTCCATCGACCACTCTGCAACCATGTCGTGAAACGCAAGAAAAACATGCCCAACGCTCCAAACGGCCCAAAAACCGCAATATGATGAATTTGGATCGGTTGAAAAGGGTGCAGTAAATTAAATTAAAAGGACAATTATTTGGCCAATTAGTTTGTCAAGTGGTTAGCTTAGGTTAAGTTAGCTTAAGGTTTCAGTGTTTATTAAAGGAGCTGTAGAGCATCAACATAAATAAAATGTATTGCAAAAATTGTTGAACAAASGACAAGAYTGGAAATCACATATTTAGTGACATCCAATTTACAGACAATCACCCCAATTATATGCAATTTACGAAATTTAAAGGCAATGCAGAAAACTCGCCACGCTTTCATCGATCTTTTCTCCCCGTTCTTTCAAATCAATCTAACGTGCTTCCATTCCTCAAGATCAAAGTAATGGCTGCTTGATACCAGAAACGAAATGCAGCTGCAGAAAACTGAATATTCAAATCGGTCTCTTCTTTTGGGTTTGACACAAACGAGCCGCATGAAAAGCACTGGAAGATTATTGATGTGCTTATTGACTGTTTCCTGTCTTTGAGAGGCAAAAAGGTATTCCAATCGCAAAC